TTTTCGGTTGCAACATGGTCTCCTCCCCCCCCCCCCCCCCGTCCCCGGTATGGTTGAGGGCCGGGCCGCCACAGCCCAAGGGCCCCCCCTTCGCGGCCGGCTGTGGGCGGATGGACAATGTCATTCTGGTCTACCGGTCAAGCATATCCACGTACATGCTGATCTAGTCCACAATATTCTAGACACATCCTGGGGTCTGACGGTGTGGCGTGCCCCGGGCCGATGGGTGGGTGTGTGTGCGCGCGTTTATTCGCTCCGCCCCGGGAAGAGGCCCCAGTGCCAACGATGTTTCATCCGGGTGATCCGGGAGGTCCGTGATATTTGGATCACACCTCCCTCATGCCCGTCTGCTCTTGGGCCGGAGGCGATTTCGCTGGTTTCCGCCGCACGTCGCCACAGCCTCCAAAAGAGCCCCAGCCGTCGCCTTGTCGACTCTTTCGCCAGCTCGATTGACCACCCCCCGCCCTACGTCAGCTTGGGCACCTATCATCCGGGAGGAGAAAGGGAGACATGGGGGAAAAAAAAAAGGACGATGTCGAGGGGTGATCTCACACAAGGGCGGGGTTGGTATTATGATACACATATCGGGCACAAGCCGCGCGCGCGCGGCACGCGGTGCGCGGGCGGTGCTTCTTATTTTCTTCTCTCCCGAAGAGGAGGCGCGGAGGAAAAGGGGATGGCGAAGTGAAGGGGGGAAAAAAAAAGGCAGTTCATCCATTCACGCAAGCTCCTGCCTAGAAGCAAATGCGATAGGTGACGTAGCGGCCGGCGGTCTCCGACGCGCGGGTGATCTTGATGACCTGGCCACGACGAAGGCCGAAGTAACGAGCAACCGGATCGTTGCGGACAATGCGCGGGAGCTGCTCCTGCTTCAGGCCACTGCGAGTGTTTTCCAGGGAGCCACCGCCGCCAGGAGAGAGGGAGAGAGAGAGGGTGCGTGTTTTTTTTTGCCCCTTCCCGGTCAGTAAAAGGATGACGGAGAAAGAGGACGAGAGGGCACAGGCAGGAGTGGGTGGCAAAGGGGAGGGGGGCAGCACACGTACTAGCGGGACAGGAGCTGGCGCTTCTCCTCCTCATTAAGGGGCTTGTGCTCCGGCACGAGCTTGTGCTGGATGATGTTGATGACCAGGTCCACCTCCATAAAAAGCTCATAGCGATCCCCCTCGGCCTCCACCTGGCGCAGAACCGGGCTAGTGGGCGAGTCACGCTGCACGATGATCGCACGATTGGTGTTGTTGATGATGACCTTCTCATGGAAGCTGGGGCAATGTGACGGGGGGTGCGGGTGGGGGGGGGGGGGGAGGGGGTCAGCATCGGGCACATGATAGCACGGGGGGCACATTCGGCCAAGCAGGACTGGGCACCGGCGTCCGGAGGGGACATACTTCTTGAAGGTCTCGGCGCGGAGGCGGTCGACGAAGAAAACAACAATGGTGTCAGCCTTGTCCTGGTGCTTGACAATCATGTTGAGCGAGCTCCGGCTTTGTGCGCAAAAGAAGGGGGAGGGTGAGTCTCGCGGGCTGGTGTGATGGCAGTACTCCGGGGGCCTGGAGCCACGCACTCGAAGTCATCGACGCGGGGATGCTCCTTGCGGAAGGCGTCCAGGGTCATGTTCAGATCGGCGTTGGTCACAGAATACCCACGGTCATTGAGCATCTGGAACACGGTCCGGCGCACGCGCCAGAGCCGGGTGAACTCGCGCTCCTTCTGCTCGGAGGTCATGGAGGCCCACTCGGTGGAGCTCATTGTTCGCTAGCGCTGAAGAATGCCAGCGAAGGCAGGGATGTCAGTGCTTACGAGAAGAGGCAAGGTGAAGGAGGGGCAGGGGGGGGGGAGGGAGCATGCGCCCTGGGAAAAGGAGGGTAGAGGAGAGCGTACGTCGTGTGTGGCTCTGCTTGCAGCAGCTACATGGTTGGTTGGAGGGATACAGGCGACAGGGGGAGGGGAAAGCGTGAGCATGCTGTTCCGGGGAGGGAGGGGAGGGGGAAGCGAGGGGGTATGGCGGACAAGATGGGGAGGAACCAAATGAGCGAGGGCAGGGCGAGGGCGGGGGGACCAGATGTACATCCAGGGGCTCTGAAAAAAAAAAGAAGAGGGAAAGGACAGGGAGATGGAGCGCCAGGGGAGGGGAGGCGACAGGCGGGATGGATGCAGAGCGGGTGCGCGCGCGTGGTGTGCAAGGGGGAGGATGAGCGGGGGAGGGGGGAGAGGGTGCTCGAAGGTGGATGGCGCAAATTGGGATCCCAAGAACAGTTGGGCAGGGGGCTCAGAAAGAGCGGCGTGCCGTTCCCCTCCTCGCGGGAGGGAGGGAGGGCGACCCGCCGACTCACGCATGTGGCCATGGGTCCCAGCCGGAGCCGGACGTGGAGCATTCGGCGATGCATCCGCGTGCGCGCGCGCGCGCGCGCGAGCACGTAGCCCCCCATGCACCCGCAGCGGCCCCAGGCATCTTCCCCGTCGAGGGGCTGCCCCCCTTCGCCCCGCCCCCCCCCCCCCCCCCCCCCCCGCACACATATACACTCTCACACAACAGCCAGCAGGGAGGGAGGCAGGCGCCAGGCCCCCACGAGGCGGTACAGGTGCCCGAATGATTTCCCAAACAGAGGTTAGGGCCACGATATTTGGTCGACGCGGGAATTGTCATGTGTTTGGGAAACGTCACGAGACTGATCTAGAGTTCATCTAACGCATGCGTGTGTTGTTCGTTTCTCCGCAATTTTCTTGCGTCCCTCGCGCCTTGCTCGCTCCTCTCCCTGACGCGTTCCTCTTTTCCCGCGAGGGAACCGGGGCATGGTCATTCTTCCGGGGTTCTTGCATCTTGGGCCCAAGGCGCCCAAGTGTCGCTGGGCAGTGTCCGTGGAGGGGGGGGGGGCGGGGGCGCGGGTACATGGTCAGGGAGGCGAGTGCATGTTGGACGAGGCGGTGCCAGCTGACGAGGCCCGCAACCGGTACCCGAGGGCGGCGGGCAGGGGGGGGCGGGGGGCTTGATGTATCCCTTTCAAACTCATGCGTGCGAAGGCCGGCACCCGTCAGGCCCTGTCGGCGCTCAGGCGATCTGTGTTCCTCTTTGCATAATTTGCCTTGTGCAAGGGACAAAAGCGCGCGACCAGCCAGACCGCCGCGTTGCCGTTCCGAACCCACTCCCTCCCCTCTCCCGCCGTCCCCCTCTCCCGCCCCCCTCCCCTCCCCCCCCCTCTCTCTCCCTCCTCTCCACCCTCAGTTTCACTCCCTCTTTCTCCATCCGATTGCCGACTGTTGCGCCCCCCTTCTCTCATTTGCCCCCCTTCGCAATGAGCAACCAGCCGGCTGGCACCGGTGCGACGCCTCTGCTTGTCCTCCTCTTTCTTGCCCCC